ACCCAGTGGGTGCACTCAGCGTGCCCCCACCAGTTCCAAGTTCCCATTCGACATGGTCCGATCAGACCGAGTGAAGAAGTTAGAGTGAAGAAATTTGAAATACGAAGACTACAGTCGACTCCCAGCAGTCCACCATAGTCTTGGGGACTACACCCAGTGGGTGCACTCAGCGTGTCCCCACAAATCCAAAAATTTAATCGACACACCCAGTGGGTGTACAGATACAAAGATCTTCGAAAAGAAAGTCTTCAGATAGCACACCCTAACAAAACAAGCGGTGACCAACTAACCTGGACGTTGCTCTGAAGGGCTGAGCTAGCATCATAGGCCGCTTGGCTGGCTTCCCGGATCGCCTTCACCTACTCCATCATGATCCCCGCCTGGCGTATAGCCTCCTTAGCAGCACCCGCTTGGTCCTCCTGGACGTGGTGTGTGGCAAAAAGGGAGGGCGAGTCAGCAGTCGACGACGAAGGCCGGGCACTCGTCAGCGACACAACGAAGGACACGGAATTCCGAGTGATGTTGCCACCCTCTTGAACCAACGTCTCATGCACTGATGCAGTCTGAGTAGTCTTGCCAGCCGGCACCTTTCTATTCCTCCTCGACCTCAGTGGTGCCTCGTCGTCATCATTAGGGAGATCGATGACATGAGGAGGAACTACATGAAAAATCCAAAGTTGAAATCAAAAATCCAATCGACCAAAAGTGAAACTACAGAGAGCGTACCAAGGTTGGAGGTGGTAGCGTCTTCCATTTCCTAGTCTTCGTTCTTGGCGGAGGTCTCGGAGGTAGCAGCATTGCAGATTTCAGAACCAGTCGGTTAATCGATGAGTCGACCAAGAGTTCGTCCGTGCTAAACGAAAATACACAAGTTGCTGTTACCCGGAAATGGTGGGAATGGCCATTCTCATCTTGGGAAAGGCCTTCGGCGGCTTTGATGGATGCTTCGGCGCTTTTTCAGTCGGCGCCGGAGAAGCCGCCCGAGGGCACTTTGACGATTGCTCAACGGGCGCAATCGCTTTGCCGCACTCGCTCGCGGGGTCGTGGGCGAGCTTGGATCGCCTTTTCGTGCGAGGAGGATCGACTTACTCCTCCTCCTCTTTGCTGGAGCCGTCGTCATCCTCTTCCCCCTCACCATCAGATTGCCACTCCTCCTCACTTTCACCTCCGCTCGCCTCTCCCTCCTCGGCCTGTTCTTGAGCCCCGTTGGGCATCGAGTACATCTCAGTCGTGGCCTAGAAGACAACAAACCAGACAAAAGTCAGTCGACTGATTTTAAGCAAACAGAATGAACAAAGTAGGATCACAGTCAGAGATGCAGAATTGGATCTTGTCCACTTCGTATGATTGGTCGAGTGGAGGAATCCTCCTGGCTCCTCGGGGGTTGTCTTTGTTCCCTGTGATGCTCGCCAACCACCTCTCCAGCGTGGCATCGTCAATCTCCTTCGGGTGGATCCGAGTGGTGTCCTCAGTGCCAGAATACAACCACATCGGATGGTCTCGAGCTTGAAGCGGCTGGATGCGTCGTTAGAGGAAGACCTCCAAGAGGTCCATGCCGGTCACCCCGTCACGGATAAGCTGGACGACACGCTCGACCAGCACCTTAACCTGCGCCTTCTCTTCCGGGATCACCTTCAAAGAGGAAGGCTTCCTCACTTGTTCCATGGAAAAAGGAGGGAGTCTGGTCGACTGCCCTGGCGTCGGCTGGTCTTTGCAATAGAACCAGATCGACTTCCATCCACGGACCAAGTCGGGTAGGATCATGGCCGGAAAAGAGCTTTTTCCTCTCATTTGAACCCCAAGACCCCCACACATCTGAATCACTTGTGTTCTCTCGTCACTCGGATTGGCCTTTTTCACCATCTGGGAGCGACAGGTGAAGATGTGCTTGAAAAGACCCCAATGAGGCCGGCAACCCAAGAAATTCTCGCACAAAGACACAAAAGCAGCGAGGTACACGATGGTGTTGGGCGTGAAGTGGTGGAGTTACGCCCCAAAGAAATTCAGAAATCCCCGAAAGAAAGGGTGAGGCGGCAAAGAAAACCCACGGTCGACATGGTTGGCCAAGAGAACGCACTCACCCTCCTGAGGCTGCGGCTCAGACTCCTTCCTCGGGAGCCGCGCCGATACATGGGGGATCAGTCCTCCATCGGCCAGGTCGTCAAGATCTGCTTGATGAATCATCGAGCGGATCGAGTTGCCCTGGATCCATCCCTGCGGCAGGCCGGCCCTCGATGAAGATCCACCTCGACTAGTCGCCCTTCCCTTCGCCTTCGCCGTTGCTTTCTTCGCCTGCTCCAGGGGCGCTGTCTTCTCTTTCATCATCGTCGCCGACGAGATACGCACGGGACAGCTGCACTGAGACGGAAGTGGATGCGGCGGATAAGTCTGGAGAAGAGAGGAGGAAATGAGAACGCGCTGTTCAAAAAACCCCGTCCGGCGCCTTATATGAGGTTACTTCCGAGTGACTGACTTGTAGGCCCGGGCGATCCTGTCAAATCCCGCAACAGTCGCGCACGCGATACGTGGCGAAAAAGGTGGCGTGGAGATCGAGGCGTCTCCGCCCTATCCCGTCCGATTACTGCGGCCTCCTCCGCCCCGCGCGCTTCCCAAAATTCGAATCCCACAAAATCCGCGAGCAGCAGAACAACTTGTCAGACGGGGGATCTCCTCCACACCGTCACTCGGAACTTTTCAAGTAAAGAAATTCACTCGACTGAAACCAAGAATGGATCAAGGCGACCGAAAAAGAAGTTGGTGTCGTTACCTAAGTTCTTGGATCCAGAGCCAGATGCACTCATAGCACGAAAAATGGGTCGGAAGAGTTCTCAACTCCTTCCCCACTCAAACCTCGATCCATTCGGGGGCTAATGATGGAGCTATGTACCTAGGGTAGGGTCAAGGACCTGTCCAAACTACCCTACCCAAGGATATCTCTAGAAGAAACCACCTGTCAATCGACTCAGAAGTGTTCCACTCGACAGACTCGAAACCACTCGACCATGAAGCCAACCACTCGACCATGAAGCCAACCACTCGACGGCTGGGAGATCTAAAGTCACTCTGCATGCAAACGGCCAGTCATTGAGTAGCTTTTATGGTCATCATAGCACTTTACTTGTGGCGTTACCAGTAACGCCAGATCTTAATGTACCTTAAACCCTACATAACTAAGAGCCGGAGGGGTCTAGCGAACTCTATATAAGCCACCCCCCTCCTCAGTGTAAAGGGTTCGCACCCCTGTAACTCATATACATATAATCCAGTCGACCGCCTCCGGGCTCCGAGACGTAGGGCTGTTACTTCCTCCGAGAAGGGCCTGAACTCGTAATCCCTTGCGTATACAACTACTCCATAGCTAGGATCTTGCCTCTACATTCCTACCCCCTACACTACTCTCAGACTTAGAACCACGACATGCGGGGCACTCGATCCAACCGAATCGCGCGTCGGGCACATGCTGCCGAAGGTCATCCCACGGCCGCACGCATCCTTCCGTAGGCCATCCCATGGTCGCGGGTCGTCGCCGCCTTGCAGGTTCCACCACCCCCGCCCTTCGCCGACGGTGGCCACCCTCACAGCCGCGCGTCATCCCGCACCTCATGTGCTCCATCTTGCAGCCCCGCTTCCCCAGAGCGCCGTTTTTTTGCTGCAACCGGCCTTGGATTTTGCTGGCACCGGCTACGTGGCGAGTTACAACCACATCGGCGACCTCGGCATGGGCGACAACCTCCATCGGGGGGGGGGGCAACAACGAAATGCTTCAAGAGGGACAAACCCCTGATGTTGCAACCGGTGTTCTGAGAAGCTACAACGATGCGGCAAGAAAGCTTTAAACAACGACAACAGATGCTGGAACCGGGCATTGCCACAATGAAAGCTTGAACCGGTGTCGCAAAATACTTCAACCGACATCACAAAAAGCTTCAACTGGCCACGAAAAAAGCTTCAATCATTCAACCATAGTTGGATTTTGGTACTAACGGCGAAGTTTTTTTGCTACATCCATCAAGCGGAGTTGTGACCTCGTGACGATGGCGACAATGATTTGCTGCATCCGCTGTCTTTTTTTGCTACAACCCGTGATGTTTTTTGCTACGACTGATGATGTTTTTTGCTACGTCCACCTCAACGACGGTGACTGACTGGCTGGCTGTCGTCGACGCAATTCCATGCTAGGAGCATCAATGGCGAGGGGCGGCGGCAGAGCTATGACTGGAGCTACACCCATCGCTGCTGAGAGCTGCAACTGTTGGTGCAGCTGTTGCACTGGTCGAGGTGGTGACGAGAACTGCCGGCAAGGGTGGGGACCGGCGACAAGGACCACCGGCGAGGGTGGACATCGGCGATGAGGACGGCCACCTGTGGGGACAGGCCAACGAGGGGTAGAGACCGACAACTAGGACGGCCACCGGAGGAGACAGGAGACGCGGCGCCGCGCACCCGAGCGGGGGGAAGAAGACGCTGGGGCGAGCACGTTATTTTTGACCGGATCTAACGGCTACGCAGCTCGCATCCAACGGCTGAGACGCGTATGGCCGAAATTTTTAGGCCTATCGGTGCCCAAACCGAAATCGGGCAAGTGACCCGTAGGCAGTTCCTTTTTTCCCTCCCGTTTCCACTTCCTCTCCGGCTAGGAATCCCAACGCGTACGTACAAGCTCCCGTCGCAGTCTGCCCAAGCCAGAGCCACGAGCAGCGCGTTGACCTCGTCCTCGAGTCCAGGGACCACTCGAGCTCGTCTCGCTGACAATGAGCATCCCAACTTCTATATATACGTGCGACCACCACAACCACAATGCGATCCTCTCCTGTTTCCCTTTCGACCTCCTCCTCCTTCCCCTCCGTTCCCGATGGCGATCAAGCGCGTCTTCCCCGGCGACCACCCCGACTTCAAGGTGGACACCAGCGGCGGCGCCCCGAGGTTCACCTTCTGCAACAGGGCGCGCTACTGGAGCTCCACCGACTACCAGGAGACGCGCGCGCTCGGCGTGGGCGCCTATGGCGGCGTCGTGGAGGCGCGCCACCTCACCAACGGCTGGACCGTCGCCGTCAAGAAGCCGCTCCCCTGCGCGCACGAGGGCGCCGGCATCGCGTGCGGCTGCGCCGACGCCCGTACGCTGCGCGAGGCCGCGTTCCTCGCGGCGTGCCACCGCCACCGCGCCATCGTCGAGCTCCGGGCGCTCTCGCTCGACCGCTGCGCCGGGAAGCTCTCCGTCGTCATGGAGTGCGTCGGGCCCAGCCTGCACGACGTCCTCCACGAGCACCGCCGCGGCCGGCCCTTCCCTGAGGCCGACGTGCGCTGCATCATGGAGCAGCTCCTCGGCGCCGCCAAGCACATGCACGGGCTCCGCATCATCCACCGCGACATCAAGCTGGGGAACATCCTCGTCGGCGCAGACGGCATCAGCACCGTCAAGATCTGCGACCTAGGGCTCGCGGTGTCCATGTCAGAACCTGCGCCGTACGGCCAGCACGGCACACGCGGATACATGGCGCCGGAGATGCTCCTTGGCAAAACCGACTACGACGCCACGGTTGACATGTGGTCCCTCGGCTGCGTCATGGCCGAGCTCCTCTCCGGGAAGCCACTCTTCGACGGGGACGACGACGCCCAACAGCTCCTCGCCATCTTCCGCGTTCTCGGCGTGCCATTATTCACGACCTGGCCAGCCTACGAGTCATTGCCGCTCGCCGGGAAGCTGGTGACGCCGCCGCATGTCATTTCCCGCAACAAGCTCCATCAGCACTTCCCAGAGGACCGCCTCTCCAAAGAAGGTTTCGAAGTCCTCAAGGGGCTCCTCTCGTGTAACATCGACAAGAGGTTGTCGGCCACCACCGCGCTTAGGCGACCGTGGTTCGCCAACGCCGTAGTCGATGCTTTAGCCTGATCTCTAACTGCTGCTACAAAGACTATTTTTGGGCTTCAATTAACGCAATTGTTTGTGGCAAAATTGAATATGTACCTTTGATTTCGTACCAAAGATTTGGATTACATTGAGATCACTAGTGTGCATGAGATTGTATGTTAATTGAATATATCTTTGACTGAAAACCGACGCATCCGCAGTTGACCACGAGCGAGAGAAGGCGCCTTGTTGGGGCGCTGCGTGTTGTGGAGGACCACATGCACGTGTTGCATGTCCAGACAAGCACGAGGAGGGCCGCACGGACAAAGTGCACGCGTTGGAAGGTTACCTTCGGAACACGTGCCCCTAGTGGTGGTGGTGGGGGGTGGGAGCAGGGGGAACCTTCCTCAAGGCCCGTGGCATTTGTTCATTTTCCTTTTTTGTGAAGTTCCTAGAAAATGAACATCCAAAATTTGGGGTTCAAATTTTTATAATTTATGAAAGTTCTTCAAAGTTGAGTATTCTAGAAGTTTGAATTTCTGAAAAAAATCAAAAAAATTGAAATTCCGTTTTTGTGGAAATTTTCAAAACTATAAAAGATCCTACAAGTTTGTACCGAAAAATTCCACAAGTTTAAAATTTTGAAAGTCGTTTTTTAAAGTTATAGACACACATTTATGAAAGTTGCTAATAAGGAAATATGCCAAAGTGGCAAGGCATTGGACTTTCCTCGGTAAAAAGAACATGGTCTTAATCTTCCACTCCTTTGTTGTGCGCCTCCTATGCTTCTATGAAATAGGATCCCATTTTTTGACTTATTACGTGTTTTACAATTAGAGTTGAATGTTATAAGTGTAACACGTATAACCTTGACGTGGGGTTGTCATTCATATTCTGAATGTAGGGAGCCCTTACTTCACATTAGCAAGCAAACTTTGCGAACACGTGTTTTCTTAGAAAAAGGCTATCACCCGGCTTTAAATTAGTGAAGTACTTATTGTTAGGGAACGTAGTAATTTCAAAAAAATTTCTACGCACACGCAAGATCATAGTGATGGCATAGCAACGAGAGGGGAGAGTGTTGTCCACGTACCCTCGTAGACCGTAAGCGGAAGCGTTAGCACAACGCGGTTGATGTAGTCGTACGTCTTCACGATCCGACCGATCCAAGCACCGAACGTACGGCACCTTCGAGTTCAGCACACGTTCAGCTCGATGACGATCCCGGGCTCCGATCCAGCAAAGCTTCGGGGATGAGTTCCGTCAGCACGATGGTGTGGTGATGATGATGATGTCCTATCGGCGCAGGGCTTCGCCTAAACTCCGCAACGATATGACCGAGGTGGAATATGGTGGAGGGGGGCACCGCACACGGCTAAGGAACGATCCGTAGATCAACTTGTGTGTCATGGGGTGCCCCCTGCCCCCGTATATATAGGAGCAAGGGGGGGGGGGAAGCCGACCCTAGGAGGGGGCGCACCAAGTGTGGAGTCCTACTAGGACTCCCTAGTCCTACTAGGACTCCCTAGTCCTAGTAGGATTCCACCTCCCTTGTTGGAGTAGGAGAAGGGGAAAGATGGGGAGAGGAAGAAGGAAAGGGGGGCTGCACCCCTTGTCCAATTCGGACCAGAGGGGGGGCGCAGGCCTCCTTCCTTTTGGCCTCTCTCCTCTATTCCCGTATGGCCCAATAAGGCCCATATACTCCCGTGCGGATTCTCGTAACTCTCCGGTACTCCGAAAAATACCCGAATCACTCGGAACCTTTCCGAACTCCGAATATAGTCGTCCAATATATCGATCTTTACGTCTCGACCATTTCGAGACTCCTCGTCATGTCCCCGATCTTATCCGGGACTCCGAACTCCTTCGGTACATCAAAACTCATAAACTCATAATATAACTGTCATCGAAACCTTAAGCGTGCGGACCCTACGGGTTCGAGAACTATGTAGACATGACCTAGAACTATTCTTGGTCAATAACCAATAGCGGAACCTGGATGCCCATATTGGCTCCTACATATTCTACGAAGATCTTTATCGGTCAAACCGCATAACAACATACGTTGTTCCCTTTGTCATCGGTATGTTACTTGCCCGAGATTCGATCGTCGGTATCCAATACCTAGTTCAATCTCGTTACTGGCAAGTCTCTTTACTTGTTACGTAATGCATCATTCCGTAACTAACTCATTAGCTACATTGCTTGCAAGGCTTATAGTGATGTGCATTACCGAGAGGGCCCAGAGATACCTCTCCGACAATCGGAGTGACAAAACCTAATCTCGAAATACGCCAACCCAACATGTACCTTTGGAGACACCTATAGTACTCCTTTATAATCACCCAGTTACGTTGTGACGTTTGGTACCACCCAAAGTGTTCCTTCGGTAAACGGGAGTTGCATAATCTCATAGTTACAGGAACATGTATAAGTCATGAAGAAAGCAATAGCAACATACTAAACGATCAAGTGCTAGGCTAACGGAATGGGTCAAGTCAATCACATCATTCTCCTAATGATGTGATCCCATTAATCAAATGACAACACATGTCTATGGTTAGGAAACATAACCATCTTTGATTAATGAGCTAGTCAAGTAGAGGCATACTAGTGACTATATGTTTTTCTATGTATTCACACATGTATCATGTTTCCGGTTAATACAATTCTAGCATGAATGATAAACATTTATCATGAAATAAGAAAATAAATAATAACTTTATTATTGCCTCTAGGGCATATTTCCTTCACTTATAACAAGCAGAACAACACAACACCACAACATAAATAAGAGACAATATGACAAGATAGAAGGGTGCTTAGGTTGAGTAACAAAGAACCAAGATGACCCAAGGAGATAACAAGAAAGAGTTGAGCACCGCTTGGAGTCATCAGAGTCCTCATACGCGATCGGTGGACTGAAACAACAGACGAGGCAAACTCGAGAAGAATACTAGACATCAACAAAGGTCATGCCATCAACATCACTTGGTTTTCCAGCACTTGAGCGCCTTCCAGTTCCATTGTCAAGATGGTCCTCACGCTCCCTCGCCCCGACTCGAAGGGTGCCACATCGTTCAACAATGGGATGCTATCACTAGACCCTGCATGGAAACAAACACCATGACCCTAAGGGAGGCCTCCGAACATAGCCTCCCCGCCGAACCTAGCTTCCATTGAGAGCACCACCACCAACACCACAAAACTGTCACCACAAAGAAAAAAGGCTACCCCATGAGCCACACTCTTGATAATCGATAGAGAGGGGCCTTGCTCAATGGACGGGGCCTCCAAGGAGGGAACGATGCCACGGTCGAGTATATTTGATTTCACCCCACGTCGCCAAAATATGGGTCTTGCCATGGTCGAGTATATTTGATTTTATCCCAGCCCGGGAACAAGAATACCTGGTGCAGCTTAGTTAGGAGGGAGTGCTCCATATCTGGTATCTTCTTTAGTTTCTCATCGTTGATGGTGGCGGTTGCCCATAGGATGCAACATATTTGATTGTCGTAGCACGCGCGCGCTTCCGCGGACACTTTTGGCTCAAAATTGCGGAGTCCACCTCCGTGACCACCAGTCTAGTAGTGATGAGCTTGTTCGGGTGCCGCATCCTCTTTGGTTTCGGTTCTATACTGGCTTCGCCAGTATCGGCTACGGTTCAGTCTCAGCGCCGGTCTCGACGCCGGTCTTGATGTCGGTCTGAGTCTCTGATGTGACAGGTGGGCCCGGTAACAACCGTTGCTCGTCGAGAAGGTTCAAATAGGCGCCTGCCGCCTCGTAGACATTGCAATCACCAGAACCCTATCCTTCATTGTTGCTAACCATGTTTCCTATGATCAAATCTAATCAATTAATTCTAAACCTAATAACATGAATAATGACATAAAAAAGACTTATGTTTTGTAGGAATGTTGATTCATTGTTGTTGTGGCAAATCCCGGGCACTCCATATGTCCTAGTTTATAGCACAAGTCATGCCGAAATTCACGGAAAATTTCGGCATGAACTTTGCTACAAAGTGGACAAATCGAGCGCCTGAAATTTGCCGAAACGGAAATGAATCAATATTCTGGCAAAACATAGGCCACTCGGCTTCATTCTCTGCAAACAACAAAAGGCCACTTGGGCACAATCAAACCACTTCAATGAAAAGATATAACATGAGAACTTCAATGAAAACATATAGTCAACAATAATGAAATATGCAAACGAACATCAATGACTATATCATATAACATCAATCTTGTTTTTCATTTATATAGCAACAATTACTTTAACCTTTGTAAACTGACCTCATTAAACACTTCTCTGCCTAGGACAGAACCCAAATTCTGTTTTAGCTATTCCTTTCTCACACACACACATTATTTTCTTTTCATCCAAATTGTTTTAGAGCAAATATTCCAACAATACTTGACCTTATTAGAATTTGCAAAGGAACTCCATTTTATCTAAACCTTCTGACCTCACCAAAATTTCCACAGCAAGACCTTAGTACCTACACCCAATTTCCTCAAAAATATTCAGATCCATAGTCCAAATAATTCAAATTTCATTTGAATGAAATTTGGACCAAATTTAGGTTCATAGTCCAAATAATTCAAATAGTCCAAGTAATTTTTTATAGCTAAATGCTATTGTTTTTTTTATAGCCTCTACTAATTTAAAGCTAAATGCTACTATTATTTATATACCCTTTGTTAATTTAAAACTAAATGGAATTAGTGTTTAGGCATTTTCATAAAAAAAATTACCCTAGCTAAATTTCTAAAAAAAATTGCTAATATTTTTTCCTAAATGCTAAAAAAGCCCACTGCCCTAAACAAATCTAGGGTTCGTATGAACACTTAGGGTTCATATGAATATCATCACAACAGCAACATATGAAT